CTGAATTTAGCATCTTAGAATACTAAAAATGTTAACTTAAAAAGTGTGCCTGTGCAGTGTTTCAAATTCTAAATCTACGTTTTCTTTCATGTTAGTTTATCAATGTCAAGCCATATCCTTTTCTTTTTTTGGATAAATTAATTCATAGTACCTTATCCCCTATTAAATTCCCCAAAGAAATCTTTAAAAAGGCAACTTAACCATTGGTACAATGCAATGAATGATAGTCAAGAGAAGTCAAATCAGTTCTAGAAATCCAAGTTCTACCCAGTACTTTGGGAGGCCGAGGCAGGTGGATCACGAGGTCAGGAGTTCGCTGCCATCCTGACCAACATGGAAAAACCTTGTCTCTACTAAAAATACAAAAATTAGTCAGGCGTGGTGGCACACGACTGTAATCCCAGCTACTCGGGACCCTGAGGCAGGGGAATTGCTCAAACCCAGGAAGCGGAGGTTGTAGTGAGCTGAGATTGTGTCACTGCACTCCAGCCTGGGCCAGAGTGAGACATGGTCTCAAAAAAAGAAAAAGAAAGTTCTAACATACAAAAAGTTCTAACATTTTAAACACACATACTACATAGGAACTCTTCTATCGATTCTGCTTTTGAAATGGCAGTTAAAACACCAAAAGGTATCTTGAAACTTAAGTTTTATTGGAAAACTAAAGTAGGGCTTTGACTGGCCCAGCCACACTTGGATGAGAATTTCGTCTCATGTATAACCAGTGGTCCCTAGAAAAGAAGGGCTTCTTCCTGCTTGAAATCTACTTAGCAATGACAAGAGGGTGGACTTTCTGTCAGGTTTGCTTGGGGAGCCAGATTTTAAAGTCAGGGGGATACAAAGGTTTAAGTTTTAGATGAATGGGATCCACTTTTTCCCTTGGCAGCAAATACTTCTTTTTCTGTTTCATGGGTCAGCTTGAGTAGAGTGAAGTGACATCAGATATGAGTTTATATCAATTTAAAATAATACTCCTGAATACTGGTTGCAACATTAATATATGAGTGCACAAAAGAGAATATAAAGGTACAGATTTCTTTCCCAAAATGACCGCTGCAAAACGCTGAGTGCATCACCTTTTAGCTGTCTTTATTGTGATCTAGTTTATAACAGGTAAAGAAGCCAAAATCTTGCCAATGAGACTACTTCCCAGGTGGAAAACGATTAATTTATAGATTCTTGGAATAAAAGCTAAAATAGTAGGTGCTTAGTAACTACTTCCTGAATGAATGGAGGTTACATACTTATGTACAAGACATTTAGTTTCTCCATCAACTTGAACTTATCATAAAGGAGAGAAAACATTCTTGCAGTAGAAAAAGGAATGTAGCCACATACCAATATTAAAAATCAGAAAAATACCCACTCTTTCAAGGGCAGTTCATCTTAATAGCTCTATATAACCAAGGCAAGAAGTCTGGTTACAATTGCTATATTCCTTTCATGTTTATAAAAATTTGATTCCGTCTATAAGAAATAAAGAACACCCCCCCAAGTCTTCAAATTCAAGAGAACTTTCGCAGTTATTTCAATAATATATAAAATGCATGCCTTTTTCTACTAAGTAGATACATCAAATATTCCTTCTTCCTTGCCCCTACACCACCTGGGTGGATTCCCTGAGCTGTCAGCCTCTGGCTTCTCCGCAAAGGTAGTTAATGAACAACACACGGTGTCAGCCTGCTTGCAGCCTGCTGCAGTTGCCACTCAGCAAACTATAAGGACCAGCGGCCCATAGTGAAGACAATAAAACACCAACAGGGGATGTGCACCACTCCCCCACCCCCAGAATCTTTCCACTGATAGATGTCCTCTCTATAGAATTCCTTAAAAGTATTTCTGGAAATAATCTAGGTTAGGGTCAAGCAAGTGCAACTAAAGCCACCTTTGTCACAGCTTGCAAATTCTTCACACTTTTGTCTGGCACTGGAGAGAGACACGTCTACAAAAACTGTAGTGACAAAACTACGACATTCAGAATGTACACTTCTATTAGTATTTTTTTCCTCTGAGAATGATAAAGAACAAAATTATAAATCTCTATCATCCACCTAAGCTGAAGTACCGTTCTCTGAGGTAGGAAAAATGCTCTATTTTTATGCAAAGAGAATAGTCACAGGATGGGAGATACAGTGGTAAGCAGTTTAAAATGATCTCCACCCAAGAGCTTTTAAGCCGCACCAGTAACTGGATCATCTCAGATCGCAATAGCTATTTGGGGAACAAGGGAACTAAAGCTCCTCTTTACTTTTAACACAACCATTCAAGAGATTTAAAGAGTGTACCAGTAAAAGCGACCATCACAACCATCGCCGTAATTCCTCACTCCCCCCGAAACCTTGAGCAATCACAAATTCCATAATCTTTGTAATCCTTGAATGCATTCATTTTTCAACCAGTCCCATAAATAATATACTTAATAACACCCTCAAGAAGTTAAAACAATAAATGCATTTAAAGAAATGGGCTCTTCATCTTTTGAAACACTTGCAATATTAGAAGAAAATCAAAACATCAGTGTGTGACCTCTCCGTTATCAAGAAGTCTACAATATGGTAAACGGTGGAATTCTTACGACACTACTTGATGAAGTCCAGTCAGTATTAGGCTAGAGCAGGCGTCCCTGAACTTTTTACACAGGGGGCCAGTTCACTGTCCCTCAGACCGTTGGAGGGCTGCCACATACTGTGCTCCTCTCACTGACCACCAATGAATGAGGTGCCCCTTCCTGAAGTGCGGCGGGGGGCCGGATAAATGGCCTCAGGGGGCCGCATGCAGCCCGCGCGGGCCGTAGTTTGGGGATGCCCAGGCTAGAGAGCCTATGTTTATGATTAAGTAATAATGACTGCAGCCGGAGGTGCACAGGGCATTTCCTGGGGATTAATGACCAGCCAGAAGAGTTGATGACCCAAAGCAAGGCCACAGGCCAGCAACCTCCGCCAGGCATTATGCCCTAGGAAATGCACTGAACCTCAACCCTTACAGTGATTTTTATACATACAGAAGGAAAAAGTTTGCGATCAGCTTTCTAGTGAGCAATGCTTTGAGTGCTCGGACTTCATAAGTGAAAAGCTGACTATTAAATATGTACAAACAGAACAACTTTTTATAGTGTTTAACTAACAGGAACTTAGAGCTCTAAGATCTTGTTTGAGAGCTATAAAATCATATAAGCCGCATAGGGACACTGAAATCTATCTTTAACTTAGGAGTTACCTGACAGTAACGCAAGAATAATAAAAGCATCAGTATACGGTTTTTTGGAACTGATTTATTTTACTCAGGTAAATAAAAGATAATGGCTGAAAGACTGCATTCCTTAGAAGAAAACAAAACCGATGAAACGAAACCCTCTAATCTTTTTGGTTCTTTACATCACAATTCTATATTACACTGGTGTCAAGAAACCAGCAGAAAGATGCCAGTAGACAAACTGTTTCATTGTTAACCCAATGCTATGCATGCCTTAATAAACTTTCTTAGGCTTTTAACTCTTAATCAGGTGCTATTCTAAACCAGGGCATCTCAAGGGATTTTCTGTATCAGAAGAATGTGAACATTTATTTTTGCTTTCAAAGAAAAAGCAAACCCCAAATTCTCCTCTCCATTCTTAAAACTCTCTAACGCAACCTGTCAGAAATGGACTACACACCCAAAGTACGGAAAACACATAGCCTACAGGTCTTGTGTATTTTAGAAAACTTTGGTGTTTATATTACCACTCACAGCCCCTTTCTCAGTTGGCCTTGAGGCTTGCCCATTAGCTGGTAAACGTTTGAAAGGGTAACTATGTCCAGAACTGGAATTTCCACTTTGGAAAAAGCAAAGAGGTACCTGACATCTGTTCCTGGAGGGCCTGCACTATACCTTCAGATTACAAAATTCCTACTTCTGCTTAAAAACAGGCAGGTCAAAGTTGTAAAACCTCCAGTGGCTACTCCTGCCTGCAGAATACAGCACAGTACCCGAAGACCCCTGGTTTCTAATTCCTAGAGAAGAGTGTCCACAAAATGAATATAACTTTAATGACATGCATGAAAATATTACCTTGGGGAAAATAAAGAAAGAAGCATCTAACACTAGAGGCCCCAGTCTCGACCCAGAATTTGACACTGCCTAGAATTAAAGAATGTTAGGGTTGAAATGGTTTCTTCCTCTTTGATGAGGACAGTGAAGCCCAGAGAAGTGAGGTGATTTGTCCAAGCTGACTCAGATGCTGAGTTAGCACTCTAATTATGTACTTTGTAAGTCTCATCTGCCCCCTCCAAGGGGCTAGGGGCAGACAGCCATGTTTCAGTGCCCACCGTGCTGGGCACCACAGGCCCGTACTCCAAGTTGTAGCCTGACTGGAACTGCAGATATCACGTTCCCATCTGAATAATAACTAACAAGGAGTTTATGGAAATTGCAGCCCACCTGCCACTTTACATTCGACTACAAGTTACAGTATAAACTGGCACTCAACTGCCTGGCTCTCCACTCTCCACCCCTTTTCATAAAAAAAAAAAAAAAAAGTTACAGGAAGTGGGATTGGCACGTTTTCTTTTCAATAATTTATAACTGGTTTTCTACCTTCCAAAGTTATGGCGAATACGTAATAGAGTGTTTTAAGGGATACTTGACTCAAATATGTCTTAAGTAATCGCTTCCTTTACGTTTACAGCATTCTCGCCCTCTTTGCTTTATAAAACTCATGCATTCAGTGAAGAGCGGCTGCAAGAGTGAGCTAATCCTTTTGTTCTGCGAACTTTGAAGTTTTTCGCCTTACTGCACAGCAGTAATTTGTTAGGTAGCATGCCCCCTCTCACATCTTTTAAGGTTAGGTGTAAAGTTTCCCCAAAAGTACCAAGAGGGTTAACTTCTAAGGGTGAAACCAAATCCGATTCAGTACATTACCTACTTTTTAAAACGTACCCCCTACCCAGAGCTGCATTAGCACAAAAGTTAGTCCCGAAGTGGTACCAGAGAAACATTTCATGCATAGAGTTTGGTTTGGTTACCTGGGTGGGGGAAACAATAGCAGGTGAAACTACTGTGGGAGAATTGGTGCTTCTGTGCCCATTGGCTTCTGGAAGAAGAGGCAGGGGGTCGTGTTTCACGGAAACCACCACCACCGCATCCACAGGCTCCGAGGGGCGGATACAAAGTCTTTTGGGGGAAGAGGGGCCGCAGATTTCCCCCGACCCGAACACCGACTCGTACAGGGCGCGCTTGGGCGCAGCCTCGGATTTCACGTCGGGCCCGACCTGGCTGTCTTTGGGGAGGATGTAAGTGTTCCCCAGCGAGGGCGGCTGGGGGCGGTGGTGGTGGGAGGGATGGGTGGGGGGGTGGTGGGAGTGGTGGCGTGCCGCCCCGTTCAGAGCCTCGGCGTAGCAGCCCTGCGGGGCGGGCGAGCCCAGCTTGGTGCCGATGCCCGCGATGCTGTTGAGTGTGGCGATGGAGACGGCGCCGATGCAGTGGTTGGTGTAGGTCTTAGAGAGCTTGGCCGCCTTGGAGAGCATCTGCATCCTAGTACCTAGCAAGTTCTTGCCGATGGCTTTGTTCTCGTACCAGGTCACATCGCCCTCGCTGCAGTGGTCCCGGGGCCGTTGGAAGAACGCCTTGCAGAGAGGGTTGCGTTTCGACAGGTACTTGACGAAGCTGGCGTAGGGGCAGAACTCGGTGCCCGTCTCATACATGCGGGGCAAGTTCTCTTCGTCGCTGCTCTCGGCGCGCTTCTTGCTCCACGACGACGAGCGCGACTTGTGGTAGGGCCCGAGGGACTTGAAGTAGACGAACTTGCGACCGTCCTCGTCCATGGCCAGCCCGAAAGAGTCCTCCTCCAGCTCGCGCTGGTTCTCGCGGCCGCGGGTACAGAAGTACATGCACGTCTCGAACCAGACCTTGTTGAGCAGCCCGAAGGGCGTGTTGGTGCTGAAGACGCTGGAGGTGTACAGCTTGCGCAGGTCGGCGCGCGTGATGGCTTGCTTCTGCACCACCGGCCCGGCGCCCTGCTCCTCGAGCTTGCGGATGACCGCGGCCAGAGTCAGGTTGGCGCTGCGCAGCTCGGGATCCTTGGTGAGGTCGAGCGTGCGGCAGTACGGGGGCTCGTTGAGGTAGCGGTTGAGGGAGCTGCGGATGCTGATGAGCGACGACTTGCTGTAGAGCTGGCCGCTCTTGGAGCGGGCCTCGGCGTAGAAGGAGCGCAGCACGCGGCACAGCGCCCCCTTGTCCATGGTCTCGAAGTCCGGGCTCTGCGCCTTCTCGCTCAGGTACTCCCGGAAGATGCGCACGGCGTAGCGGGTGGCCAGCCGGGTGTTCTCGCTCAGCCGGGCCCGCTCGGGGCGCTGCAGCACGTCGGGGTCCAGCTCCGCGCCGTCCCCGGGCGGCCCGCCGCGGGCCCGGGGCGCCAGCAGTCGCGGCGGCGCCTCGGGTTCCAGCGCGGCGCTCTGGTCCATATTGATCATATGGACCGGCTCGGGCTCCAGCTCCTCCCCGGCCGAGTCCTCGGGCTCCAGGGGCTCGTCCCAGTCCAGCCCCATCTCCTCCTCCTCTTCTTCCTCCTCCTCGTCCTCCTCCAGCCCCCCACCTCCGTCCTCCTCCTCCTCCTCGTCCCCCGTTATCTGCACCTCCTGGATCTCGTCCTCCTCCTCCTCTTCCTCCTCCTCCTCGCCCGCGCTGCAGTAGTGCGGGCGGCTGTGGCGGCGGCCGCGGCCCCCCGCGCTGCGCTCGCCCTCGCCCCGCTCCCCATTGTTCTCGGCGGCGGCGGCGGCGGCAGCGGCGCTGGCGCTGCCGCCCGCGCTGGTGTTACAGTCCCCGCTGCCAGGCATTCTCGCCATATTGCCGTCTCTCTGCCAGTCCTCGGGCAGGGCGCATGCGCTATATTGGACCGCAGCGCTGAGAGCTTTTGTGTTTAATGACCTTCAGCTACCGGGAGGCAAAGCCGGGCTCTTAAAGGAGCCGCGCTCCAATTGTCATTCCCGAGCGCAGCTCCGGAGGGGCAGCGGCGCGCTGGGGATGGAGGGGAGGGGGTAGGGGAGGTGGGGGCAAGTTAGACAGGGAGAGATAGGGTAAAGGACGGAGGCTGACCGGACCTTCTTCCTCCCCCACCCGGCTCCCACTTCTGAGAAAACTTTAAAGGGGAAAAAAAAAAAAAAAAAAAAGGAATGGGAGGGAGAGCTGTCGGTGGGGGCGAAACACTCCCAACTTACCCTCTGGCGGAGAATTGCGCGGGCCCGGGCGGGAGAGAGGGAGGGCCGGCAGGAGGGCGGGACGGTCTCGCGTCTCTAAGTAATGCCCGAGGAGCAGTGCCCCTTCCACCGCCCCCTCATTGCCCCCCGGAGCCGGGGGATCTGGGCGGCGGCTGCGCCGGGCGGGCCGCGGGTGCTGCCGCGGGAAGGCCGTGTCTGGGGCCGCCCGGAGCGGAGCAGGCAGGTTAATGAGCAGGGTGGAGGAGGCTCGGCGAGGCCCCGCACCCTCTCGGCGCCCGCGGCCAGGGCGCAGCGGGCGAGGCTTGGGAGCGGGATGGGGCTGGCGGCGGCGGCGGTTCCCCCACCTACTTGCTGGCGGCGAGGCGCGGGGGCCTGGGGCCAGCCGCGCGGCTCCCAGCTCCCTTTCCGACTCTTGCATAGGAGCGAAACACGCCCCACGTCAGCCTCATCCCTTTCGACTTTTCCAACAGCCACATTTAAGCTGTCATTAAAGACCTGGGGCGCTCCCCGTAGGTCTGGGGCAAGTCCACGCCGGTCCAACCAGCCCCGGGAAGGAGCGAGGGAGAGAAGACTGGGAGGGGCCGGTGGGAGGGGAGACAGGGGAAGAGGCGCTCTGGACCCTAGGGGCCCCAGGGACCCTTCCCCGCCTGCCCAGGGGGCCACCCTCCCTGCCCCCGGGAAAAGTGACACAACTCCCTCCGGCGAGGCGCTCCACCCTGCTGGAGCTAAAGTCTCCCTAAGGCCCGTCCGGCAGGCGGAAAAAGAGAACTTGGGTCTCCGCCGCCCCCGCCGCGGCCACAATTTGGCAATTGGGATCCCGAGCGCAGTCTCCCTCAAAGTTTGCCAACCGCCATTCTTGCGCCCTCCGGGCTGCGCTGCCTCAGGCATGCGGGGGCGGGCACCTCGGAAACTGGAAAAGCAGCCGAAGAGCTCGCCGGGTCCCGCTTTCCCATAGGAGACACTGTCCCACTTCCAGACAAACGCCCGCCCCCGGCGCGCCCAGACTCCGGGCGCGTCGTTGCGTCGCTGCTTTCAGTTCTCCCGGCCCAGGGGCAGCGTCCGGGAGCCGTCCGGGACCTCGGCTGTTCTCTTAGAAGGCACAGCCCGGGCCACCTTCGGAGCTCGCGCTGCATCCTAACTTTCACCTCCTCCCACAGCCCGCGTGTCCCCTGGCGCGCCTGCCAGCTGCTAGTCCCTGGGGTAAGGGGACCTGAAGGAGTCAAGTCCCCAGCAGCGTGCCAAGTGCCAAGCGGTTCTCCTGAGAGGCGTCCTCACCCGCTCTTCGGGTGCGTCCTCGAATTTGCCTCCAAGTCCGAATTCTCGGCAATTAGGCTGTGAGAGTTATGTCAACTGCCTGTTCCTCGCTTCCCCAGGCCTCTTTCCTTGCTCTCAAGGGGTTTATCATTTTACGCATCAATTGAAACTCATCCATCAATTTTTAATTTTTTTTTTAAGGAAAAAAGAATGAAAGACCAGGTCTCAGGGCCGCGTGGGCTTCTGAGTGGGAGTTGACCATATCTTTTTCTGCAGCGATCGCTGCTGGTCCTCCGTGTGCCTCCCCGGCCCTGGATGCCACCCGAGCGTTGGGGAAACCGCGCCAGGTGTGAAACAAGTTAGAGCAAGTCCCTGCTTCGCGGGCCGCCTCCGGCTGCACGGGGAAACTCCTTTCTCTCTCCTTTCTTTCTCTCTCTCTCTCTCTCTCTCTCTCTCTCTCATCCGCCCTGCTCTCCGCCGACAACCGTCCGGGAATCGGCCCAGAGGTGCAGCCGGAGAGGTGGCCGGCTTTGTTAACAATGCACTACCCTTCCCACCCGCCCTGGACACGTGCAGAAAGGCGTGTTCGTTGCTCCGAGGCTGCAGTGGGTAGCTAAGTTAGTTGCACACTCGGACCCGCACAGACGAGCTGGCACACACTAGCCACACACGGCTACTTCCATAGGACCGGCCCTTTGTCCTGGGATGCTCCCAGATTTTCGAGCCGCGGTGACGAGAACTCAGGTGGGCGCCGGGCAAGCTACCTACCCGGGGCTGTTCCCCCACGGCCCTCGCCCTAAGCGCAGGGACCTGGGGTCGGCGCTGGCTTGGAGCTGCACTCCCAGCTCAGCGAGGGACCCAGGCCCACGCTCCAACCTGGGAGCAGAGCCGCTCCCCAGGCCTCCCCACCTGGGCCGGCGGCGGGGTCCACCCCCTTCCCACCATCTCCCCTCCCTACTGGGCGAGCTGCTTTGAATTGCTCGCAGTTTGCCGGAGGCGGTGTGCTGGGTAGGACGCTCCGGGAAACAAAGCAACCCAAAACAGCTCCCTGTTGACGTCAACTTATTTCCAGAAAAGAAAATAGTTTTGTGCTCCCAGGACAAAATACCCCCCAGGGCAGGTCTCTACTGGCAAGAGCCAGAAGAAGGAGGTGGGGAATAGCAGAACCGAAAAAAACCTCAAGCACAAATAACTTTTATACGGACTTGGGAAAGCAGCAGTTTCGGGTGCTGCTTGGACAGTCTGCAAACAACGGGCAGGACCCGAGCTTAAATTTGATACGAAAAACGCACCTTGGAAAGTATGCCTTGGCCTGATTTTCGGACGACTGTGGATCCGCTTCGTTGCACCAGCTCCAGAAGAACTACCAAGATGATTTGCCTGTAGGATACTTCATTAAATACTGGAAAAGACCTCTTTGGGCTATTATCTATAGGAGTCACCGGGAAGAACACCCAGAAAAACAGATATATACCTTGCTTCCCCTTGACCAAAAAAAAAAAAGAAAGAAAAGAAAAAAAAAAAATGCTTAGTTTTTAAAACCCAGTAACACAAAATTACAGTGGAGTTCATAAAGTAGTTCAATTCCAAGTTTAATAAATGATCCCTTAAAAACATCCTGTGGTTCCATACACTCGATTCCAAATTGAAAGAATCAAAAAAGCTTTCTTCTTATTTCTGTAGAGGCAATATTGGTTGTCGTTCTGCCTATCAGCCAGCATCCGATTCGTCTACTTGACCTCTCCATATCATCAAATCCATTCAGCATACCACCTTGAAAAAGTTGCCCTGTCACCCCTTTGAAGGATGCTTTTCTTGTGCAGGATACATGACTTCTTTATAATCCCAGTACTACAGGGAACATTTATTGCAATTATTTAACTGTCAGAATTCTCTAAACTATGGTTAGATGTTTACAACTTCAACAAGATTCTCCACCTTTTGCAGGGTGGGGGTATCTCTTTGTATATTTGTGCTTTTCCACTTCTCAGAATACTTGAAAATAGTGTCGTGGTTATTTTGATATGAAAAACTCCAAATGTTTCCCCTTCGATTCATAACCCAACTACTTATATTTCAGGCCCACATTTTATGAAAGGTTATGCTATACAGAAACTTATTCAGCTCTTCCTCCTTTTCACTTCTATCTTCTGAATATCATCTGTTAATATACTTGATATAGTTGCTTTTTAATCTGCCTGTTTCCTCTCTGCTAAAGCAAGGCACACCCTTGTGATTTCAGTCTGGTGCCTGGGGACATGGTGAGCACTCGTCATTTATAATGAATGAATGAGGGGAATCTGTGTTTGGTTAAATCCTACATTTAGCAGGGAAGTTTTTGTGAAAAATTAAAAACAACATGAATCTGAAGTTCTATATTAAAAATGAGGACCTATAGTGACTATAAGGCAACATTATTGTTTGCAAGTTAAAATGAATTTAATGGCTGCTTTGGATGAATATTTCTTTATCATTCCCTTTTTAGTGGAACATACTTTAGAAAGTTATTGCAGAAGTAGGGGGAGGGACCCTTTTCTATCAGCAGAGTTAATGTTGGCCCTTCTGAAGGCAGATCTGGGGAATGGAAGTGTCTCTATTAAGAGAGGTGGGCTGGGGAAGATTCAAATTGTTAAATTTGAGAAATTTTGTGGGCTCTTGAGAGCAGAAGCCAGAAAAAGCATTTAGTTCATCACTTTAAAGACACAAATCAAAAGAGAAAGCCATACTCTCTTGATGTAATTACTAAGATTCATAAAGGACTTTCAAGGCTAAATATGAATTCAAAAATTCACATTGAAACTATTTGGGCATATCTTGGTTTTAGAGTTTCCCTTTTTTTTTTTTTTTTTTTTTTTTTTTTTTTTTTTTTTTTTTTGAGGCAGGGTCTCACTCTTTCACCCAGGCTGGAGTGCAGTGACATGATTATGGCTTACTGCAGCCTCAACCTTCTGGGCGCAAGTGATCCTCCCATCTCATCTTCCCAGGTAGTTAGGACTACAGGCTCACTCCACCAAGCCTTCCTAATTTTTGTATTTTTTGTAGAGATGAAGTTTCCCCATGTTGCCCAAGCTGGTCTTGAGCTCCTGGACTTAAGTGAGCCACCACTCCTGTCAGAGAGTTTCGTTATTAATTCTGTTGAATTCAACCGAAGATCATCTTCAGTAATGTTTTTTGAACTCAGATGAAAATTGAAGCCATGTAATCTAAGTAGACAAAGTGGAAGAAAAGAAAAATAACTCCACAACAGCAGAAATGATGTCTTATTTATTCGTGAATTTCCAGTTTATTTCCAATTCAGTTTCTTGGTATATTTTAGCAGGGTGACTGGCACATGACAGATACTCAACAAATATACACACATTTACATGAGGGGAGAAAGCTAACTTCAACAAAAGGTTGTACAGTAGAGTGATGAAAAGCTCTCTCTGAAGCCAGTCTAACTGGCTTTGCCTCACCAGCCACCTTTTTCTATGGCTCAGTTCTGTCCTTAATCTGGGTGATAATGATAACAGTTCCTACCTCTTGGGATTGTTTTGAGAATTAAATAAATTGATATGCACAAAGCACTTAATACACTGTCTGGAACATTCATACACATTCAACCATTACTTCTTATTTATGAAGGCTCTATTGTTTCTCGATAGCAAGCAAACAAACAAACAA